GCGGGCCCGCGGGCGGCGGCCACCGAGCGCGCGAAGCCCTGGAGTGCCTCGCACTTGTCGCGCAGCGCGTCCAGCTCCAGGCGCATGGCGGCGTTCTCGCGTGCCAGCTTGTCCACCTCGCGCTCCAGCTCCGACTTCTGCTTTTGCAGCTCCTCTTTCTGGCACACGCGCTTCACGCGGCAGCTGGCCGCGTAGCCGCGGTTTTTTAGCGTGCGGCGCCGCTGCTTGAGCCTTGTTACCTCCTCCGCCGAAAGCCCGCGCAGGTGCCGGTTGAGATCGCGCACCGACAGCTCCATCAGCGCCTCGTCCGACAGGTGCGGCGTGTTCTCGCTCAGCTCGCGCTTGATCTGCGAACGGCGCGGTGGATGCATGGGGAAACTGAGGCCCAGGGTCGCTCTCCCCTCACCAGCCTGTGGGTAGGGAGCCTTGGGCCTGGTGCATCATAGGTGCTGGGGACGGCTCCCCCTCCAACCCCAGGGCTGCCCCTTCACCTCCTGAGGCACTGAGGTGGTGGCTGGATGTGCTCCAAGACCCCTGAAGGGAGGGAGAAACTAGGCCAAACCACGATCCAAACACACTCAGGGATACCCCCACAGAGGCCACCCCAGGCCTGGCCCGAATTCTACCCCAATGTCCCGTTCTGGCCTCAGCGAGAGAAACCCCGACCGGAAAGCCCCTTTGAGGTCCTGCAGCCCAGTGGGCATTGTCCCGATGGGGAAGCAGGCCCAGAGAGGGAAGTGACCTTCCCAGGGGCACACAGCCTGTGACCAGAGCCCAGCCTGGGGCCTCCCCTGCATCATGAACGCCTGATGCCTGCTGAACCACCCTTGGGGATTCCAGGAACTGAGGGGGAAGTTGGGATGGGGAAGCTCTTCATTAGCAGTGAGGGAGGGGGCCTAGGACAACAGGGGCTGCCTCCTTACTTTCAGAGCTTTGCTGGATAAGGGGTCCACAGACATGTTTGCGGTTGGTGCCCTCTGGGTTGGAGACCTAGGGGAGAGAGAAGGCCAAGGTCAGTTTTCCTCCCCACTTAAAATAAAATCCAAACTCATTACCTTGGCCTTCAAGGCTCCTGCCTGTCTCAGAACTTATCTCATACCACCTTCCTCTGTCCCAGAGGTCCAGCATCAGTGTCCTCCTTGAATGAATGGCTCATTCCTGGCTCAGGGCCTTTGCCCTTGGTGTTCACTTTGCTGTTCTCTTCCCTCCTATCTTCCCACAGCAACTCCTCCTCATTAGGTCTTTGCCCAGTAACCACTTCCTCAGAAAGGTATCCGCTGACCATCCTGGCTAAAATACCCCCTCCTTTCACATCAAGTTGTTCTCCGTGTTAGGTGTCATTGAGTCGATTCCATCTCATAGTGACCCCATGTGACAGAGTAGAACTGCCCCACAGGGTTTTCTAGGCTGTAATCTTTATGGGAGCAGATAGCCAGTTCTTTCTCCTAAGGAGCCACTGGATGAGTTTGAATAACCAACCTTTTGGTTAGCAGCTGAGTGCTTACCCGTTGTGCCACGAGGGCTCACCATCTGTCACATCATATAGCCCTGTTCATTAACGCTCATAGCACTCATGTCCTCTGCAATTATCTTATGTTTGGTTACATGTTTATGGTCCCTCTCTCTCTCCCACCCCTCGTCCACCAAAATGTGAGTCCATGAGGGCAGAGGCCTTGCCTGCCTCATCACGGCATCATATGCCTAAATCAGTGCCTGACATATAGAAGGTATTCAGTACATATGCATCAAATGAATGGACCCTACCCTCCATTCTTCCACATGGCGTCCAGATATGTATATTTGATATATTTTTAAAAATGCTTCACTGAAGTATAACCTACACACAAAAAGTGCACAGGTCATATGTGTACAAGTCAGTGACTTTTCGCAGAGTAAATACACCTGTCTAACCAGCCAGAGAAATCATCCATCAAAAACAACATAACCAGCTTCCTCACCCCCACCCAAACCTCCCTGAGACCAAACCTGTGCATTTGGAAAAGCTCCTGGCACCTGGCGGCTGCCCAGCAGGGATTCAACACTATCCTAGGCAGATGGGCAGCTCTAACCTAGACTGGTGAGGAGCCCACCGGCCTCCGATGCCTCCCCTACGGGCTTGGGAGCCCCCATGTTGACACATACTGAGCATCTGCTATTTGCCCGGCATGTGCTTGGCACTGAGGAGACAGTGGTGAATAAAGTCTCTTGAAGGTACATTCCAGGGGTTGTTCCTCTGGTTTGGAACACCCATCTCCCAAAGCCCCCTTGAAAGCAGCTATCCTCTCCACCCTCAGCTGATCTGGTCTTCTCCCCCACTCAGTGTTAGCCTAAGTTTCCTCATCTCATAATCCCCATGGGGAGGGGCCTGTGGTAAGAGACAAAGGAGAACAGGGGAGGAAGATGGCTTGTGATGTGGGATGGTGTGTCCATAAACTACCCTTAACAACAGCCATTGTGACAGAGAGCAGAAGCACAAACCAGAGTCCTGGCCCTGGTTCCTCAAGCTGTCTGTGGAGCGAACCTCACAGCCTCATCTCTGCCTCTGACACACTCAGCAGGCCCTGGGTGTCTCCAGGGGACACTGGTGAAATGGAACATGCATGAACTTTGCCCCAGACACTATGAGGACATTTTGGAGGTCGTCCCACTCACTAGTTGTGGGACTTTGGCAGAGCAGTTAGCCTCTCCATGCCTCAGTCTCCCCATGGGTGACATGGGATGGTTGGGTGTTAAATTAGATCATGTCACTCTTCTCTCAGAATGCACCCATGGCTCCCATCTCACTTGGAGTCAAAGCCAAAGTCATCACAATGGCTCACAAGCTGCCTCATGATCCCATCCCCAACATGCCTCTCTGGCTTCATCCCCTATTACACTCCTCCTCACTCAGTTTGCTCCAGCCACACCAGCCTCCTTTCTGGTCCTCCAATGCACCAAGCACGTGCCTCCTCAGGGCCTTTGCACTGCTGTTCCCTCTGCCTGGCATTCTCTTCCCCTAGATATCCAGATAATGTTTGTGACCGCACCTCCTTCAAGTCTCTCCTCAAATCTCATGTTCTCATTCAACTTAGAATTCCCAACCCCTGCCCACCATGCATGCGTGCATACACACACACACACACACACACACACAGACACACACACACACTCCCTCTGTCCCTTTCTTACCTAATTTTTCTCTATTGCACTTTTACTTTATAATAACGGTTTTATAAGTAACGGTTTTATAATTTATAAATAACGGTTAAGCACTTAGCTGCTAACTTGAAGGTTGGCAGTTCAAACCCACCAGCAGCTCCACAGGAGAGAGACCTGGCGATCTGCTTTCGTAAAGGTTACAACCAAGAAAACCCTGTGGGGCAGTTCTACTCTGTCACATGGGGTCACAATGAGTCGAAATCTACTCGTTGGTACCCAACAACAATTATTATTACGCGTATACAACTAACTTAGTTGTTCAGTATCTGTCTCCCCCAGTTGGAATGTCAGCCCCACGAGGACAGAGGTTTCGTCTTGTCCGTGGCTGTGTCCCTGGTGCCTGGCACATAGTAGATACTCAAGTGATAGTCATTGAATTCTCAGTGTGACTCAGGCAGAGGTGGAACCACACAGCCCCTCCCACCCACAGAGCCAGGAGGTCTGGCATCCAGAGGGAAGCAGGGAGAGGGACAGGAAAGGGAAGTTGGCACAAGAGATATTCTGACAGAGGCAGCCAGTATGACCCTTGGGTGGGGAGGGTCTTCAGAGCCATCCAGGCTCCTGGCCATGTAGCTGGGGTAACTGAGGCATAGAGAGTTCCAAGTCAGGTAGGGACAAGGGGATAGGGTAAGGCCTGCTTCACGGGGTGGACCCCTGAACTATAGCCCCCATTCCTGAATATGTGATCTCAACCTTGGTGCTGGCCTCAGTTTCCCTGCCTAGAAGTCCGACCCCTAGAGGGCTGCCCATCTAGCTCTCCTTAGGGCCTCTAGGTCCCATCCTACGTGGACAAATCCTATGGACCCTGCCAGCCACCCTGACCTTCCACAGATACTACCTGGACACTCGCATACAACTCCCCCCACCCATTCCACCAATCTGTACAGGCCCCTTAAAAGTCACCTTTGCCTGCCCACACATCTGGGAGGGTCCCCGCAGGCCTCCCTGCTGGGTAGTCCAAGTCTTCAGCTCATCCTTTATACAGTAACTGGAGGATCTTTCCACCATGTGAAGCTGGCCATGTCACCATCCCTCCCCACCCCACCCCCCGCAGATTAATACCTTCCATGGCTCCCCACTGTCCTGGGGTCTAGCCCCAGCCACGCGGCACCCAGCCTGGTATCCAGCCCCAGGCTCATCTCCAGCAGCTCCCACCTCCGTTCTGCACGCCAGTCACTGGGAACTTCTTTCAGTTCCAGTTCCTCGCACCCCACGCTTTCTTGCCTCTGAGCACCCTTCCTCCCTCTTTGCCTGACAGACTCCTACTCATCCTTCTGTGCTCTTCCCCACCCCCGCCAGGAATCCCTCCCTGACCCCTAGGACTTGTGAGATACCTCCCACCCCAGCACTTCTCCCCCTGTGTTGTAATGCTCTGTTTCCTTGTTGTCTCCCCACCGGAGAGGGACCAGACTGAATCAGCTCTGGGTGCCTGGGGTCACCCAGCACGGCACTGGTGAGGGGTGGTGGGTGGTGGCGTCTCTGACACCATCACCCAGGTTGTCAGTGTCCAAACTGAGTTTCAAGCCCAAGCCCAGCTAAATACATCTGAGAGAAACACCTCCTGGCCTTCATCTCCAATTCCCCCTCCTGTATAGGAGGAGTGGTATGCAGATGCCAGGAGACCGAGAAGAGAGTAGAAGGTTCCTTCCACATGACGCTTGGCCCCCTGGTGGAGTGAGCGCAACAGGGAAAGGAGCACGGAATTCAGCGTCAAGCCTAGGTTTGAGTCCCATCTGTTTTCTTTAGGCTGTGTGACTTTGGGCAAGCCACTCCATCTCTCTGGGCCTCTACTTTCCCATCTGTAGGATGGGAAAAATACCTGCCTCTCCTCACAGGGTGGGGAGAGGAATCCACAGAGATAATATAGGTGGAAGTGGCTTTAACTGTGGAGGACAATGGACATAGGGAGTTTTAAGAATTGCTGAGTCCGTCCAGAGGAGAGATGGAGCCAGGCCTGTAGCCAGCACTGGGACCTCACTCTGATTCACCATCTCCTGGCTAGCCAAGGTCACCTGGGGAACAGCAGGAAAGGACCTTCAAGACCATCTGGCCACCTCCTCATGTTGCCCAAGGGGAGGAGGAGACCCAGAGAGGGGCAGCCCTGGCCTGAAGGCAGGTAGTGCAGGAGTGGCTGCCTCCCCCCAGAGAGGGGGGAACTCTGAACACCTAGAAAGACTCCAGGACTGCGTCTAGACCTTATCTCCCTGGGCCTCCCTAGATTCTGTGAGGTACCACCCGGAGAGGTCAAGAGTAGCCCAGGGTCACACAACCCAGCAGGCCTGCAACCATACTGAGCCACATGCCTCCTCCCACGGTGGCCCTGGCAGGGCACCCTCTCTGGGCCCCATTTCCCCACCCCTGTGAAGAGGAGGCTGGATTTGCTGGTCTCCAAGGCCACTCCAACTCTGCTGTGCGAAGATTTGTGTTGGGCCTCCAAGGAATACGCAAATGACGTGCAAATATCCAGGCCCCTCATGGCCAGCTGCTTAGGGAGGTGGAGTGATGGGTAACGCCCAGGATGCCTGGGCTACACAGAGAGACCTGGTTGGGGAGGGGAAGGCTCTCCCTAGGTAGGTAACAGAGAGCCTGTTGGGTACTGGGTGCTGTGGCTGGTCCAGAACCTTGGAGGCATGGCCTGATCCCTCAGATAAGTCATTTTTCCTCTGGGCCTTGCTTCCATCACCTGTAAAGTGGAGATGCTCATAATAATACTTGCCTCCACATGGATTAGATAAGATATATGAACATACTTTGAAAACAGCAAAGTGCAGTGCACATGAGGGCTATTAGTGCATAAAATACAAGAGACTTACTTCAAAAAAACCAAACCTGTTGCCGTCGAGTTGATTCCTACTCATAGTGACACTATAGGACAGAGTAGAAGTGCCTCATAAGGTTTCCAAGGAGCGGCTGGTGGATTCGAACTGCTGACCTTTTGGTTAGCAGCTGTGCTCTTAACCACTGCACCACCAGGGCTCCATAAATCAGACCAGGAGTGGCAAATGGTTGGCTCACCTCCCTATTAGCCCTCCCTCCACTCCCAATACAGACATCACTAATCAGTCACAGCACTTTTTCCCGCGAGGTTAGTTAGACACAGCCCCTGAATCCTCAACACAACCCTGTTTTCCCTTGCGCTTGGACACAGCTTCAGGATCCTTCTCAACACAGCTTTCCAGAGTAGGCCATCCATCCCCTATTCTAGATAATGGCTGCAAAGTCCCATCCACTCAGCTGGCTGTGATTCTAAGTACTTTCCGGCCCTAGGGAGGTGTTGAACCTTTTCTTCCCTCCTTTCCTCTGCCCCCTCCTGCTTTAGCCTCAGCCCCCTGACTGCATCCTGGATGTCAGCTGAGGCACCCATGTTTTCCCAAGGAATGTCCTGGCTCAGCAAAGTCAGGCAGTCACAGAGGGAAAGTCCTAAGAAGGGGGAAGTTTTCGACAACCTCAGGCTTTCAGCTTCCAACCCCAGCCCAGGGGCCTGCGTTCTCCGCCAGGCTGTCCCTGCCAGTCTGCTGACCCTGGGCTTGGCAGGTCTGGAAGGGCTGCTGACAACAATTTTTGCACCTCCCTTGTTCTGCAAATAAGGCAACAAGCAGCTGTTTGGTGGTAGTAGTGGGCTGGAACCCAGGGGTCCTCGTCCCCAGCTCCAGGCTCTTCCTTCAATGTCAGCTACCCCCTTTCTCCTCCTCTTCACTTACAGGCCAGCAGAGCTGACCTCTAGGGTCTGCAGGTTCCTAGCATTCCTTTGGAGGTTTTGAGAGGGAGCTTGCTTTTGGGGAGACTGACAGCTGCCTTGCCCAGTCAGCAGCCTTCCTATGCCCCTCTGCCCACCCCCAAGTCTGCTCCAGTCATCCTGCAGGCGGCCCACTCCCTGGCACCGGCTCCTTTCTGGCTGCCAAGCCATTTTGCTTGCTCTGTGAGGACAGAGGGAAAAAATGTGTTTTCCTGGGCCTTGGCAGCCAGCACTGGTAGAGCCTCCTCCCTCCTGGAAGGGAAAAAAGGCTGGAAGAACCCAGCACCGCAGGGAAGCAGTGGCTGGGGTTCCAGCCCTGTGCTGCCACCCACTCACGCTCACTGTGTGACTTCAGGCACGTCACTCCCTCTCTCTGGGCCTCAGTTTCCCAACATGCCAAACTTCCACTGAGCCTAAGGTGCCTTCCAGCACTGACAATCTTGGAGTTTAGAGTGTCAGATTTGAGCTCCAAATGGAGCTCCAAGGCCACCAGCACAGGGAAGGCCCTAGAGGAAGGTATAGAAAATCAGTGAAGTCTTCCTGGAGGTGGGGCATGAGAACAAACTCAGAGACCGTGAGCCTTGATGGTCCCTTCTTCTCTACGTGAGTGGCCAGGGACTTCTTCCTCTTTCAACAGGACTCTCACTACCTTCCTCACTGGTCTCAGGCCTCCAGTCTTGCCTGTCCCCCTAGCCACCACCACATACACCCCCTCCCCTCGGCCCTGGAGCTCAGAGAGATCATTACAGACACAAGTATACAAACCTGACCATGTTCTACCCATTTAAAAGCCCTGTGTTGCCAGCCTCCCTTCCAGCCCGTACAGTGGGGCCCTCAGGCCTCCACCACGTTCTCTCTCCTCTCCCTCCCAGGATCCTTGGGCTAGCAACAAATGAATGAATGGCCAGTCAATTCTACTGTCCCTGCATGTTCTCCAAAGGGGCAACCAGGGCATGTGTGTGTGTGTGTGTATGTGTGTGTGTGAGGGAGGGTGTCCCCTGAGCCCTGAAGGATCTGTTAGCTTTAGAGGGGATGCTCCAAGAATCCTACAGGCCACATGTCCAGGGCTCTAGCTTCCCTGGGGCTCCCAGGCTTTTTTCTCCATGTATCATCAGCCTTCCAAGATGTGGTCCAGGGCTCATTCCTTCACTCATTCAATCAGCAAACATCCATGAAGCACCTACTGTGTGCCAGGCTGGGCCCTGAAAGGCCCGAAGATGAGACACAGCCTCTGCCCTGAAGGGCTCCACGATCATTACTCAAGTGGAGAACTCAGCTTACTGGTCACCTCCTCAGAAAGCCTTCCTTGATTGCCCTGGTTAAGTAAAAAACTGAAAACCAAACCTGTTGCCTACAGGACAGAGTAGAACTGCCCCATAGGGTTTCCAAGGGGCAGTTGGTGGATTTGAACTGCTGACCTTTTGGTTAGCAACTGAGCTCTTAACCGCTGTGCCACCAGGGCTCTGGTTAAATCAGAGCCCTGTTATATATTTTCAAAACCCAGTGCCTGCCCCCTCATGCCCCGCATCCCAGCTCTTTGTTTGTCTCCCCTACTCAACTGGAAGCCCCCAGAGGGCAGGCTTTGGGTCTCGTTTATTCACCATCTTGCCCTCAGCACCTGGCCCGTAACTTCAGGAGGCACTGGGGCTGAGGGAGCCCATGCTGGGTCCAGGGCCCTAGTGGAGGCCCAGGGGTGATTTAACGGGAGGTTAAACTTTCAGTGCAAATTTTCCGTCTTTGACTGAGCCAGCCAGCCACTTCCCCTCCTCCCCTGACCCCCGGCCCTCTGTGGGGAGGTTTCCTGCCTGGCTTTGAGGGTGGCCTGCTTAGTTCCTGTGCTCCTGGCCTCAGGCCCTACCCTTTACTCAGATCCTACATATTCCTGGGCACCCCTGGCTCCCCCTTGCTTTCTCTGCCACAGTTCCCCTGGAAAATAGTCTGTGTGTAGAGGTTGCCCAAATTTCCCCCATCCTAACCCTAGCTTGCCAGCCTCGATGTGCCTGCTGCTGCTCATGGGGACATTGAGGCTCCCAGCTGTGGGAGCAGAGCTCACCAGTGCTCAAAGATTGAAAGATGAAAGACCTCCCATGATTCTGTGGCCCTATCTGTGGAAGGGACGGTGAGGGCAGAATAGGGCCAAGGAGTCCCTAGCACCCCACCACCCTATCCCTCAGGCCACTGGGCTAAACAGGAGCTTTCAGCAGGACTGATCGGTAGGGTGGGGGGCAGGGAGAAATCCCTGGGCGGCTCAAACAGTTAAGAGGTTGACTAGTAGCTGAAAGGATGGTGCTTTGAACCCACCCAGAGAGAGGCACCTAGGAAGACAGGCGTGGTGATCTGCTTCTGAAAGGTCACAGCCTTGAAAACTATGGAGCAGTTCTACTCTGCACACACTCAAGGGAGGGCAACTAACAACAACAACAACGGGGGGGGGGCGCGGGGAGGGCTAGGTCTGCGGCCCCACCCCTCACACATTAACCTTTCATGCACCTAGCCTGTTGACCCTGCCTGGCCCAGGGTGGGGACCCTGTGTTGGTGCGCTGGCACAGGTCTGTCAACTAACTCCTGGGATCTAGCTGTCAATGGGTCCAGCTGTCAGTCAGTCTGTCTGACTAGTACCACCTGTGAACTGGAACCACCAGGAGAGCAAGAAGCAGCTCCACCCCCTCCTCGTGTCTCATCCTGCCCCAGCCCTGCAGGTACAGCCTCGGGAGCCCAGAGGAACCACCAAGAGGAGTCAAGGCAAGAAGCCTCTAAAGACCCTCTTTGCCGTGGGTTTTCTGGCCCTTCCTATTTCTCCTCAGACTATGGAATGGGCAGCCCTAGGGGCGACGGGAGTCTCGAGGGCTCGCTCTCCCCAGGGAGCCCGAAAGTCTGGGGACAAGGACCAGGGCTCTAGCCCACTTTGTTACCAGATCCACCAGGGTGCTGGAGTAAGGGGTGGCACCCCTCACTCCGCCCGCACTAGAGCCAGGCAGTGTCTTTGATACCTCGCCCCACCCAGTGGCGGCAGGCGCCAGCTCTGGGCGGGGGACAAAAGCGCGGTCACACGGTGATGGCGCAGGGAAACTCCGAGAGCAGGGGCCCGGCCGCCACCGGCTGGTCGAAGGGGGCGGTCCGAGCAAGAATTATCGGACCCCGTGTGGCCACGGACTGCGCCTCTTACTTTGCCGCGGTCCTCATTCCGCGTTTACTCGTGAGGACATCCCAGGGCACACCCTCTCCGAGATACACACGCTGGGACATAGGTCCCAGAGTCTTCACCGGCCAGGGAGCGCGCGCATGTACACACGCACACACACACGCTGTACACTGTACTAGCACACGCACGCACACACACAGCACACACGTACACGCACGCATATACACAGTTCACACACGCGCGCATACACACACACACGCATGCAGTACACCGCGTACACGCCCTGGGCGGGCTACCAGGACGCGGGCCAGAAAAACACACGCCCGCGCGCCCCGGGACGTAAACAGCACACGCACAGCAGCGGGCGCCAGGCCAGGGCCTGTTCTACCCGAGTCACGTCGGTGCGCACCGCCCCCGCCCCTTCAGGCGGATGCTAAGCTCGGCAGCCGCAAGCTCCTGCCTCCCCGGCCTTCCGGCACCCGGGTCCCGCTCCCCGAGAGGGGCCCCACCTCCACCCTACCCGCCTAGCTGGCCTCGACCCCGTCTGGGTCCCAGACCTCTGGCTTCCCAACCCGCCGGCGGCCGAAGACGGATACCTGGGCCCGGCGCCCCAACCTCAGCACGTCCCCGGGTGAAAAGACCCTCCCCAGCTAGGGCCCCGCGCCCATCCCGCCCGGGCCCGTCCCTCACCGACTCTCGGCGCGCTTTGCCTGGCGCCCCAGGCGCGCGGGTCCCGCTGCTGTCCCGCTCGGTCCCGGCGCGCAAACTGGTCCGTCTCTCCTTCGGTGCCGACTGCGGGTGACTCGGAGCCGGGCTCCCAGGAGTGCCGCGCTGAGTTCTGTTGTGGGGCTGGCGGCGCGGCGGGCCCAGGCTGCGCGAAGTTGTAAGGCGAGCTTCCCGGAATTACTCACTCACAGGATTCCTTTCATTCATAAAAACCGAGTCATGCGCTGACGTCACCGCTCCGGTCTACGGCCCCGCCCCTCCCCGCCCCCGCCCCTCGTCCTGACCCCGCCCCTGGGCCCTCAGAAGTCCTAGAGCCTCCAGGAGTCTAGTCCCTTTTTCCAGGGCCCGCTGGGTGCGTTCACGTGACACCTCGCGAGCCGTGTAGGTGGAGGTGTCATTTGCTTCATTTTACAGTCGTCTGTCCCGGGACTCTTCTCCTTTCGACCTACACTCCTTGATGATCTCATGCAGTCCCGTGGTTTTAAATGCCATCTGTATGTCCATGAGTCCCAGATTTTTATTTCCAAAGTGAACAGCTTCCCTCAGGTCCGGATTCGTGTCCAGCTGCCCACTTGGCGCCTCCACGTGAGTGCCAGACGCGAACTGCAGACTCAACGCGGCCAGAATCTGAGTCCTGATCATCAACCCCACCCCCACCCCGCCTTATGCTCTGCCCCTTCCCACCTTCTCAGTTAGCTTTTCCAGCCAAAAACCTAAGAGCCTTGCTCCATTCTTCTTTCTCACTTAAACTCTGCACACCATAAGTCAAGCTATTTCTCCAACATGTATCCTGAATCTGACCATTCTCACCACCTGCAGTCCTACCACTGAGTCCAGACACCGTCAATTTACCTGGACAATGACAGCAGCCCCTCATACTCTCCCTGCTTTTTCCCTAAAGGCTTTTATACACTATTCAATGCTCTTCTCAAAACAAAGATCAGACAGATTGCATCACACAATTCCACCCTCTGGCTTAATGCCCTCGGTAGCTTCCCTTTGCACTTAAAATATAAACTATACTCCTCCCCTTGGCCTAACCAAAAAAACAAGCTGCAGTAGAGTTGACCCTGACTCATGGCAATCCCATATGTGTCAGAGTAGAACTGTGCTCCATAGAGTTTTAAATGGTTAATGTTTTGAAAGTAGATTGCCAGGCCTTTCTTCCAAGGTGTCTCTGGGTGAACTTGAACCTTTAAACTTTCGGTTAGTTGCCAAATGCATTAATCGTTTGCACCACTCAGGGACTTCCCCCTCGGCCTACAGGATTGTAGCAGTACATCAACAGGGAACTGCCAGAAATTCAAGCTGGACTCAGAAGAGGATGTGGAACGAGGGATATCATTGCTGATGTCAGATGGATCTTGGCTGAAAGCAGAGAATACCAGAAAGATGTTTACCTGTGTTTTATTGACTATGCAAAGGCATTTGATTGTGTGGATTATAACAAATTATGGGTAACATAATGGGAATTCCAGAACATTTAATTGTGCTCATGAGGAACCTGTACATAGACCAAGAGGCAGTCCTTCAGACAGAACATGGGTATACTGCGTGGTTTAAAATCAGGAAAGGTGTGCGTCAGAGTTGTATCCTTTCACCATACTTATTCAATCTGTATGCTGAGCAAATAATCTGAGAAGCTGGACTATATGAAGAAAAACAGGGCATCAGAATTGGAGGAAGACTCATTAACAACCTGTGATATGCAGATGACACAACCTTACTTGCTGAAAGCAAAGAGGACTCAAAGCACTTATTGATGAAGTTCAAAGACCACAGCCTTCAGTATGGATTACACCTCAACATAAAGAAAACAAAAATCCTTATAACTGACCAATAAGCAACGTCATGATAAACAGAGAAAAGATTGAAGTTGTCAAGGATTTCATTTTTCTTGGATCTACAATCAAAGCCCATGTAAGTAGCAGTCAAGAAATCAAGAGACATTGCATTGGGCAACTCTGCTGCAAAAGACCTCTTTAAAGTGTTAAAAAGCAAAGATGTCATTTTGAGGATAAGGTGTGCCTGGCCCAAGTTACGGTATTTTCGATTGCCTCATATGCATGTGAAAGCTGGACAATGAATAAAGAAGACTGAAGAATAATTGATGCCTTTGAATATGGTGTTGGTGAAGATCATAGAATATGCTGTTGACTGCAGAAAGAACGAACAAATCTGTCTTGGAAGAAGTACAGCCAGAATGCTCCTTAGAAGCAAGGGTGGCGAGACTTCGTCTCATGTATTTTGGACATGTTATCAGGAGGGACCAGCCCTTGGAGAAGGGTATCATGCTTGGTAAAGTAGAGAGTCAGTGAAAGAGAGGAAGACCCTCAACGAGATGTATTGACACGGTGGCTGCAATGGTGGGCTCAAGCATAGCAATGATTGTGATGGCGCGGGACCGGGCTGTGTTTTGTTCTGTTGTACTTAGGGTCGCTATGAGTTGGAACCGACTCCATGACACCTGAAAACCACCCAGGGACTTCGCCTTTGGCCTACAGAGTCCTAATCCATCTGGCTGCCCAACCCTCCAGCCTCATGTCCTGCCACTCTTCCTTCACCCATTGCTTTTCAGACACACTGCCCTTCTTTCTGTTCCCCAAACATACCAAGCTCATTCCTATGCACTTGCTATTTCCTCTTTTGTTCACTTGCCTGGTTCTTTCTCATCTTTCAGGTGTCAGCTCTGATGTCACTTCCTCACAGAGGCCTTTCCTGACCACCTTGGCTAAAGGAGACCTCCCCCACCACCACCTCTGAAATTTGTTTTTTGTATTACCTTCATATCTCCATAGGGTATTATCTTGTTTATAATATGAAATTGTTTACTATAGATTAGTGAGTAAGCACAAGTAAACCCATGCTTACCTTGCTTACTGGGTTATCCGTCCCTGTCAGGGATAGTAAATTTGAAAAGAGGCTTTGATTCTGTAGGAAGATGCTGTGGGGTTTGGGAGAGACAGATGCCAGCCATACCTAGAAGCAGAATCTTTGATGTGGTGAAAAAATGTGAAATTGTTCACTGTAGATGATCTGGTAAGCAAGGTAAGCACCGTGCTTACCTTACCTATTGGATAATCCGCTCCTGGTTGCGATCCATTCTCCGTTTCCTTTACTTGTACTGTTTCCATGGCCTGAAGCACCATCACCCCAAAAGCCATCTCGTCTGTGAAGCTGATATCATAGCACTTACTTTATTTTACTGTGTAGGACGTAGGACTTCCCCAAACTAAGAGGACTTTGTTGGAGCCCTGGTCATCTGCAAGTCTCCCCCTTCCCTCAGTGTAGTGTCATTTGATTTGAGGGCACTTGTCATGCTTTCCTGCCTCTGGGTCTTGGTCTACCTGGGATTGTGACATCTATCCCTTACCTCCCAAAGACATTGAGTTTCTGAGGAAATGCTGAGGCAGCTTTCTCCCCCCCGGCAGTGGAGGCTGGATAAATCCCTGAAACTATTACCCTGAGATAGTCTTCAAACCTTGTCTTAGTTCTCTAGTGCTGCTATATCTGAAATACCACAAGTGGATGGCTTTAACAAACTGAAATTTATCTTATCACAGTTTAGGAGGCAAGAAGTCTGAATTCAGGGTGCCAGCTCTGGAGGAAGGTCCTTGTCTCTTCAGCTTCTGTTTCCTGGTTCCTTGGAGATCTCCATGTGTCTTGGCATCTATATTACCCCATCTCTCCTCTGCTCCCTTGTTTAATCTCCTTTATGTCTCAAAAGAGATTGACTCCAGATACACCATACTAATCCTGCCTCATTAACATAACAAAGACAGTCCATTCCCAAATGGGATTATAACCACAGGCATAGAGGTTAGGATTTAGAACACATATTTTTTGGAGGACACAGTTCAATCCATAACAAACCTTAAGCCAAAAATATCCCCTGAAGTCTTAAAACGAAACAGTTGTTTAGCTTAACTAGTAAAGAATGTCTGCCTTGAGCATTGTGCTCTTTTAAGATCTATCTATACAGGATTAAACTGACAACAGAAACTCGAACGATTAGATAGGAAACTTAGGGGGCAGTGAGTTTATGTCAGTGCAGGAAGAACAATTTGGAAAAGGAGGGTGAGAATGTTTGCATGTCCTTCTCCAGGGACTGGTCCCTCCTGATAATGTGACCAAAGTATGTGAGACGAAGTCGCCATCCTTGCTTCTAAGAAGCATTCTGGCTGTACTCCTTCCAAGACAGATTTGTTCGTTCTTCTGGAAGTCCATGGTATGTTCAGTATTCTTCACCAACACCATAATTCAAAGGCATCAATTCCTCTTCAGTCTTCCTTATTCATTGTCCAGCTTTTGCATGCATATGAGGCAATTGAAAATACCATGGCTTAGGCCAGGCGTACCTTAGTCCTGAAAGTGACATCTTTGCTTTTCAACACTTTAAAGAGGTCTTTTGCAGCAGATTTGCCCAATGCAGTGTGTCTTCTGATTTCCTGACTGCTGCTTCCATGGGCAATAATTGTGAATGGATCCAAGAAAATGAAATCCTTGACAACTTTTATCTTTTCTTCATTTATTGTGATGTTGCTTACTGGTCCAGTTTTAAGGATTTTTGTTTTCTTTATGTTGAGGCGTAATCCATACCGATCTTCATCAGTAAGTGCTTTGAGTCCTCTTTGCTTTCAGCAAGTAAGGTTGTGTCATCTGCGTATCACAGGTTGTTAATGAGTCTTCCTCCGATCCTGATGCCCCGGTCTTCTTCATATAGTGCAGCTTCTTGGATTATTTACCCAGCATACAGATTGAATAGGTATGGTGAAAGGATACAACCCTGACACACACCTTTCCTGATTTTAAACCACGCAGTATCCCTGTGTTCTGTCTGAAGGACTGCCTCTTGGTCTATGTACAGGTTCCTCGTGAGCACAAATTAAATGTTCTGGAATTCCCATTCAAAGAGCTACGGCTGCTAACCAAAAGGTCGGCAGTTCAAATCCACCAGGTGCTCCTTGGAAACACTATGGGGCAGTTCTGCTAGGAGCTGGAATCTACTCCACAGCAACGGGTACCATACAGGTACGGAATTCCCATTCTTCGCAACGTTATCCATAATCTGTTATGACCCACACAGTCAAATGCCTTTGCATAGTTAATAAAACACAGATAGACATCTTTCTGGTATTCTCTGGTTTACCCAGG